ATGCGCCTTTTGCACGCCATTGGAGAGTGCAGTTCTTAGCCTCATAATTCATAATATTAAAGCAACTTTCCTGTCGTTTTCTTTCTTTTCCCCCATCGTTTGGTTGATCAGCCAAGGACTTTGAAGGGAAGATTGAGACCAAAAAACTCATAATGCACCCAAAACTTTAAAGACTACAAAAACTAAAAGCAACATTCCATAGCCATTAATAAAGATCAACCAGCTAGCTGAATAGCAGTCATTTAATTCAGACACAAATAAGTAAAAATACAGAGCTTCACAGTCCCTGGAATGATTTTGTTTTACCTTTGAGAAATTTTATTTATTTATTTATTTATTGCTTTTGTGTTTTTTATTTGTCTATTGCACCAATGCTTTGGTCACGAAGAAACAGAAAGAAACGTAGAAGCGATGGGGTCAGGTTGGAAAAGGTCAAGCACGTGTGGCTGAGCTTGCTCTCATCCAAGGCCAAAGGGATTAACTGGCTACCGACGCTGCCAGTGGACAAGTTTAGACCAATGGCGATTGGTTTGTTTTGTAGTAAAAGAGAAAATTCTCTATCCATAGATATTTGCAGCTAAGCTAACAGTGCGCTCTCCTGGGCCTGCCATTGCCGCCCTCACTTTGTGGGGTGAACTCATTATTGCTTTATTTAATCCAACTAAATTCAATGTAAACCCTTTTTAGTAGCAGCTAACTACTTTTCTATTTGTATTACTTGAATTTTGAGGAAATATTTTCATAAAAAAAAAAAAGAAATTTGAGGAAATAAACTCTCAAAATTTAAAGTTTCAATCTCTCTTCCTCAAATAAATAAAAGATTTTGGGGATTATATGCTTAGAAAATTGTTTACTCAAAATTTTTTATTTCGCTTTAATGGTGTTAAAAAAAAAGTAAATCAATTTCTTTAATATAGAAAAAAATGAGGGTTTCTAGATTCCTAATAATAATTGTGATTCCATATTTCACCCAACAGGTTACATTTTAATTGTCATTAAATTTGAATAAAAATCAATATGCATTTTGACAAGTGGTTTTGAACATCATAATAATAACCTTTTAAAAGGGCTTTGAAAATTTACACTCGTCTCCCAGTGGCTTCTCATAGCTGCAAAAATAAGTTAAAGGTTACTTTATTTATCCCATTATTATTAATGTTGATGATTGCATTAATAGGTTTCAAGTTTCAACCTGGTCACTACACCTTTAATTAAAAAGGGCTTTGAAAAATGTGATTATCACTTAAATAGCTTATGTATAGCGGAAAAAATTTACATAAAATTTTATTGGTAGAACTCGTAAAATTTTTTATTAAAAATAAATAAATTAAAATTAAAATTAAAAATTAAAATATTTTATTATATAAATTAAATGTACAAAATTTAAAAAAATTTTGATATATGTATTAAATAGATATTTTTAATAAAAATATTAATATAATTTTTATTGTTAAATAAATATCGATTAAATTTGAATTATAAATAATAATTTTAATTTTTTTTACATAATTTTAATTTTTACATTAAATTTTATTAATTTATCTATTCAAATTTTTTATTTATTTATTTTTTATAAAAAACTTCACGATTTTACTTATGAAACTTCGTTTAAGTTTTACGATGACAGTGAAACCACTCAGTGATGTTTATTGAGGAAGGTGTGCTATAATAGCAGAATACGCATGTTGCTCAATTCATTGAAAGAGTTGCAATTTCAGCCTTTTTCATAGACATTTTAATTTATTATGGGGAAAAGGAGCAGTTGAGATCAAACCTGCAGATATGAATCTATTTGTGATCCAGTTTTCTAATGCTGAGTCCAAGGATTGGGTGCTTGAACATGGTCCTTGGCATATACAAAATAAGATTATCATTGTTAGGAAATGGGAACCTGGAATGAAGTCTTGGAAATTTAACATGTCTAAACTACCTGTTTGGTTTCATTTTAGGAATGTTCCATTAAAGCTATAAACTAAGAAAGGGCTGAGTTAGATTGCTAGTGCTCTAGGAACACCTCTGTATATGGGCAAGATACTGCTAATCAATTGCTTTTGGCCTATGCCAAGATTCGTCTTGAAATTGAGACAGATATTCCAAGATTCATTGATGTGGAGCTGCGAGATGGATCTATGGTGTCTATCTCAACAGAAGTGGCTTGCCATCCTCAAAAATGCTTGCATTGCTACATCTTTGGCCGTACTGATAAAGCTTGTCCTAACAAGCCTGTTTTGGCAGCAACTAAGGTCTGGGTACCTAAAAAGAGGGAGGATAAGGTCTCAGACCTTGAACCATGCAGAATTAATGATAGACTTGCTTCTTGGGGTTTATCTGTTGAGGAGGAATGCAGAATTCTGCCAACAGGAATACGAAACCAAAGACCATCTTTTCTCTATGGAAGAAGGCCCTTCAACTTTGTAATGCCCATAAAAGAGTGGCTAGAGCAGGCTGTTAGTGAAGCTTATGGGGAGAGCCTTAATCTCTATCATTCTTTGCACTGCTTAGAATGCTTAGACTGAAGTTCAATTGTTGGATCACATCAAGAAAGCTGTTTGTTTGAGATTCCATGGGTTTAAAAACATTGCTGCTGACTCTGTAAATTTATATCTTAGTAGTGCGGGGGACTCAATTCTGCTATTTTTTGTTAGTATGTTAGCATATTTTGTAAAGACTGTTGTTCTGTTGCAGTTCTACTGCTTCATTGGGTAATAAAAAATTTCCCTTACTATCAAAATATATATGTGTGTGTGTGTGTGAAGTTCAGATGTATAAGTCAATAGCTCACTCAATATTAAAATGTTTCAAAATAATGATATGAATTATCAAAAAACGAGGACCATCTATACCAACCAGGAGGAAGCTTCAATATTCAAATTAAAAACATACCATTTTTGTATTATCAATTCATTCACTGTGATTTGCAATCTTTGGATTTGAATTATTCTCTTAATGAGAACGCGTACATGCAACTTCAGAAAATCCACACACCAGAGCAATTGCAGTTGTTAATTACACCATTAATTTACTATTTGTAAATTTGTACTCATGGCTAGGTGGATACAAATCAGAGACATTGTATATTCTTTCATTAATCAAGATTTAGTGCCAAAAGCTGGAACATTTATCATATTTTATCCCTGCCTTGCCTGCCATGAGATGCATCTAATCTCATGTTCTTCAAAAATTAGTATATTCCCACTACTTTGGTGTGTATTAAATCAGCTGATTGGCTGAATTTGTGGTCAAGCAAGCCCTTCTATTCAAAGTTTGCTGTAAAGTGCCAACTACTCTTACCAAACATAGACTTGGGTCCTTTGCAAGTGGCTGTTGAAATGCTGATTGCAATTTTTGAGGCATGGCACGAACCTTTCTGGGAATTATTATATATACAACAATCATATTACCCTTTTTCTGCCACTTTCTACAATGGTGGCTCGAGGAAGCACAGAAACATACGCTCAAAATAAACTATTCGGTACGGCCTATTAAAATTTTCCGATATGGGTTGGTATTGACTCAGAGCAGCTAGATATAAGAAGAAGCAGCCCATTAAAACTTGAATTCCAACAATGAAGAAGAAAACTGCATGAAACTGGAATATGCATATGAGAACATTTTGAGGAAGAGTTATGGTTTCTGATGGTGATTTTTTAAGTATTTCATCCATTCTCTCGTCATAATATAGCTACTTATAGATTGATTGATTGATAGTTGATACTAATATGGCTATATTCCACTACTAAAGAATCACGTAACTGAAAATTACATGCATTTCGTGCTATGTAATGATCTCCTCTGTTTATCAGGCCGGTTGCCATCTCACTTGGTTCCAGGCTTCCGGCACGTCTCCTTTCAGGTCCTTCAATGCGCAAATGGCACGTAAGGCCTTCCAGGATGTAGAAATAAGATCGTTCAACATTTTACATATGGCAAGCAACAATTTCCTTCTAGCTTTCATCAAATCTTGGTTAAAACAAAATATTACAGTCATTTTCATAATCCTATTTTTTTGTCTAATATTTGATTTCTAATTTCCTTACACTTTAAGGCAGAAAGAAAAAAAGAGTCACATATTGTTTTATATAATAATTCAAAGGATAAACATTATGAAGAGCAGAAGCCTCTCCACCACCCCCCTCGGGATTGCGGAAAAACAAGGGAAAAGCTACTAAGAAATTTCATTGCGTCAAAGGAATCAGATGTCATGTCAACAATTTGGTCTAGTGGTTTCACAATCCTGACAAAACTTGCCAAGATCACTTGCTTTACATCTTTGATTCTGAGACAATAAACTTTAATTTGTTAGGCTGAAAAGTAAAATGTTTACGTTTTACCATTGCTGTTGCATCATGTTGAAGTCAAGTTTCTGGGTTTCTTAGCCATTCGAGGTGACAAAAAGTTCAATTTGTGTGAAAATTTGCCAAATTCATGCCGTGATTAGTGGATTCAATCGAGCACTAGGCTAATATACCTGGTTCTCCGACATGCATGGTTCATTGATTTTTATCAGAGAAAGCCTTTAATGTTGATTAATTGTAGTACCAACCATTATTGACTTTTAGAGCTTTTGTTTAACATTTCTCAGCCAATTTTTACTTGAGACTTAATCAAAGAAAATTCAGTTAAACAGAGGCAAATATGCATATTTTCTACAAGTTTTGTCGGTGAAGAAATATACTTTTTATTTATTTATTTGCTTCCATTTGGCATTTGATAGGATTTGAATCCATAAAGTTTGTAGTGTTAATTAGAAACTCCAAACCCTTTAATTGTGTGTGTGCATACACGCGAAAGTGAAAGGGAAAGAGAGAAATGGGCCAAATAAGAAAAAGAAATCAATGACCAAATCAACTTTGAAATTACTATAAAGATAGAGAGAAAAAAAAAAAGGAAAAAAACTTATATAGTAAGCTATATGGATGAAGTAGAGATTGACGCGTGAAAGTTTTCTATATATAATGGCTAGATGGAAGTCATCATGCATTCACAGACTAAGAAACCACAATGTTCTCTTCAATTGCCTACTCTTCCTTTTTCTTGTCAACTATCTTTCTGACATCATTGATTTTTCAATCAAAAGCTCAATTGAATGCTACATTTTATGATACCACATGCCCCAATGCGTCTAGCATCGTTCGCAGTGTTATTCAGCAGGCTTTGCAGTCTGATATTCGGATTGGTGCCAGCCTTATTCGTTTGCATTTCCATGATTGCTTTGTCAATGTAAATTCAAGCTCCCAAGTCTATGATTTGTATATCAATTGTCTCAAGTACTGAAAGTTTTATTTTTATTTGATTCCTTTATGTTGATTTTATCGCAGGGATGTGATGGTTCAATCTTGTTAGACAACAGCGCCAACATACAGAGCGAGAAAGATGCTGCTCCAAATACCAACTCGACCCGAGGCTTTAACGTTGTCGATAACATCAAAACTGCTCTTGAAAACTCTTGTCCTGGCATTGTCTCTTGTGCAGACATTCTGGCCCTTGCTGCTGAAGCTTCTGTTTCTTCGGTAATCCAAAAACTTGAATTCTTGTCATTAACTCTTTCTTCAATTATGGAAACTGGATAAATTAATAAAACCTAGAAAATTTTCAAACCATTAAATGGATATCGAGATTCTAGCTAGCTCACATATTATACGGCCTTGTGCTTGAAGCAAGGAGGTCCATCATGGACCGCACTACTGGGGAGAAGAGACAGTTTGACAGCAAACCAAGCTGGAGCTAATTCGTCCATTCCCTCTCCGTTTGAAAGCTTAAGCAACATCACTGCCAAGTTCTCTGCCGTCGGGCTAAACACCAATGATCTCGTCGCATTATCTGGTAATTATTCATGTCTTCTAATAATAGCTAAAAGAGCATGCATAGAATTCGACATCAACTGTATGTTATTTACAGGCGCAGATATTAACATTTACATTCTCACTAGACTCTTGAGTGACTGAAACACAATCTGATTGTTAATTTTTCCATCTGTAATTATGTAGGTGCACACACTTTTGGACGTGCTCAGTGCAGATTATTCAGTAACAGGCTATACAATTTCAGTGGAACAGGCAATCCTGACCCAACACTCAATTCATCATACTTGACTACCCTCCAACAAATCTGTCCCCAGTCTGGAAGCGGATTCAATGTTGCCAATCTTGATCCCACCACTCCTGATACATTTGACAATAACTATTTTAGCAACCTTCAAAACAATCAGGGCCTTCTCCAATCAGACCAAGAGTTGTTTTCAACAAGTGGGGCTCCCACAATCTCCATTGTCAACACCTTCAGCAGTAACCAAACAGCATTCTTTCAAAGCTTTGCTCAGTCAATGATAAATATGGGGAATATCAGCCCATTAACAGGAAGCAATGGAGAGATCAGATCAGATTGTAAGAAGGTTAATGGAAGTTAGTTAATCGACCTCTGAAATCTATATAGACACAAGATTAATTAATAGGAGTTGCTACCTAGTTAAATAGCAAGCAAGGTCAAGAGTATTTTATTAAGAAAAAAGCAAATGGATTTATTTTATTAAGAATCAAAGCTGAAATCACAAAATAATGGAAGCCTATCATGTTTGTATTATGTGAAGTTTGATCTAGGAGTGGAATATCTGTGACCAGGGTGTGCCTGTAAAAGATAAATTGTTGAAAAAACTTTTAATGAAATTATTATTGTAACAAGGACCAGGCACCTGCCACAACTTGATTCTTATATATCCATCTTTCTATGTTTTGACTGCACCACTTGCTGAGAAAGTAGGGAAAACATCTAAATCCATTCTCAAATTATCAATTAGTCTCATCCAAGACTTGTCAAATTTTTCATCAAAATGCGGCCAAGGCCTCATCTGCTCTGCAGCCGCTCGTTCAAATCAGATCAATCCTGTAAGAAAAATGAAAAAAAAAAAAAAAAGAAAAGATGAAACATGAATTGACTCACCATGTGAGAAATGAAACATGGAATAAAAACATTACTACATATAGAAAATATATATCCCAGAACATTTCAAGTTGAAGTAGAACTAAGGTATGTTTGTTTTCACTAATGAGGTCTTGTCTTAACAGTCAAGAAAATATCTTGAAATCTAAGTTCCAAATTTAAAGTAGGTTTCTCATCATACGGAGTGTTAATTCAATTTATATTAAATTTATTCAATTATATATGTTGATGTGTTAATTGATAATTATATTATAATTTTTTTTGATACAGTAACTTGATATAAAAAAGTTACTATGTTTGTGTCAAATGGAAATGGAATTCAATTTAATTTCATAAGAATTCTACATTAAAATTCATTTGCAAATATAATACATTATATGTGCAATAAAAATTATTTTTAGATTATAAATAGGGCTAAATTAAAATCCCAATAGAGAAATCATTTCCTTGCCTCACAAATATAATTTTAGATTCATTCTTTTTAGGAAAAAGAGTTAAAAAAAAAAAAAAACTTCCAACAAAAATTTGATAATCATTCAAGTATTTGATATTTTATTTCAATAAATTAAATCTTAAAATTTCTATTTCATATCAATTAAACCCTTATACATTTATTTTTATCAAATTAAATCCTTAAATATCTATTTTTATTTTGATTAAATAAAAATTAGTATTGACAATTAACTAATTTTTATTTAATAAGAATTTAATTGATAAAAATAAATATTTAAAAACTTATTTGATTGTAATAAAAATTATAAAAGTTTGAATAATTATTAAATTTTTTTTTCTTTGGCCTCCTTTTTAACATGAGAGAGCATTATCAGTACCAAATCTCACCATTTAGCACCAAAGAAATTTTTAGATTTTTAATAATAATAAACTTTTTTCACTAAAATATATATATATATATATGTCTTGTTGAAGAGATTAAAATTATAAATGCAATTTTTTTTATCATGCTCATTAAATTCCAACAAAAGACAAAATGTTAGTCTAAGTATTTTAAAAGCACAAATGAGATAAACAAACCTTATTCCATGCATAAATTGAGAAGAAAAATCTTAGTCCATGCGCTGCTGTAATGTCTGTTGGAATTATATAGAATACAGCATTTGGCAGCTTATAATCTTTCATTATTCCTCCTTTAATTGTGCCACGTCATCATCATATATCTGCTCTAGTCATCATTGCCGATGATTCAAACCCAATCATAGATTACAAAAATATGCATAACTACACAGAATCCTCCCTCCATCTTCTTCTCTTTCTCTCTCCTTCCTTGAATTCTCTCGAAATTTCCCTCATAAATTTTTTTTTTCGTTTTCTTTTTAATTTTTTCCCTATCTTCTCTCTAAGCAACATGAAAGATCGCTGACCAAAGAAGATAACAATTCATGGCGAGTCAAGTCGAACCCAACTCAACCCAGAAACAGCTCCCATCATCCAACTCAGCGACTCAGAGCACTTAAAAAGCTCCGAGTTTCGTGGTCAAGATCGTCAGCTGTTATAGCCGGGTTCTTCTTTTTCTTCTATAAGTCTCATTTTTAGTATAAATTTTCGATGTTTATTTGTTTGTCTTTAAAGTCACCTTCTTGATGACATAAAGCTTGGTTTCTTTGGGTTAGGGAGGTTGAAAATTGAGGCTTTAGATCTGGGTTTCTTGATATTTTTGATGAAATTAGTGTTTTACTTGTTGGGTTTGATGAATTTGTGATAAACGAATTTTTATTGGTTTTTAGGGTAAAATTGAGGATTTTTTATGATTTGGGTTTGTTTAGTTTTGTGTCTGTGATATTGGTTTCTTTAATGTTAGGGTAAATTTAAGGTTGTTATATCTGGGTAGCTTCAACTTGTGAAAATTGTTAGGAGGGTTTAAAAGAAGGGTTTTTCGAAGCATTTGTCATGGGTGAGGAAGCACCTGATACAATGAACCTGGATTTGAATCTGGGTCCTGCTCCTGAGACAGGGTCAGGATCAGTGTCGAATGAAGGTGCAAATTGGGATGATTTGGTTGATAACCCGTCTGATAGGATTAGAGAAGCTGTTAGGCGTACGAGGGGGAGATGGCGGCAGGATCAAAATCCTGCTGCAACTCAGAACCTCTCTGTGGAATTGGATCAATTTATGGGGAATTCAGGCAATGTGAGTGCGTTGCAGGCAGGTGAGGGCAGTGTTGCTGCAGAAGAAAGAACGAGTGATGTGCCCAAAGCATGTGAAAATACCAATGGATTTTTAGAAAATGAGGTTTCAGAGAAAAAGGTTGATCTTGAGAAGGGTGTTAGCAATGACGGGAGTTTTTTTGATTGTAACATATGCCTGGATTTGGCTCGGGAACCTGTTGTAACTTGTTGTGGTCACTTGTTTTGTTGGTCTTGCCTCTACCGATGGTTACATGTGCATTCAGATGCAAAGGAATGTCCTGTCTGCAAAGGAGAGGTGACAGATAAAACTCTGACCCCAATTTATGGTCGGGGGAACATTACCAATGTGCCAGAAGAGGACTTGGGTATTAAGATCCCTCCTCGGCCTACTGCACGGCGGGTGGACAGTTGGAGGCAAACTATTCAAAGGACCGCTTTAAATCTCCCAGAGGAGATGATTCGCCGCCTCGGAAGCAGATTTGATTTGACCCACGACCTAACTCCATCACGGGAAGCCAATGGTGGCCGGGAAACTACGGAAAGAACTAATTCCATTCTTGACAGGATTTTGACATCTCGCGGATTGCGTGTAGAGCAAAATGCAATTGTGTCCCTCGGTGATGTTGACTTGACGCCTAGCAGCACAACTGGTATCGATGTTATGTCGTCCCGGATTCATTCTTTGTTCCATCAAAGAGAATCACATTTGCGAAGATCTGCAAGATTTACTTCTCCGTCATCTGCCTTGAGTTCAGCAGAAAGGTTAGTTGAGGCATATATCCGAAGCAACCCGGCAGAAAGAAATCAGGAGCAGCCACCAGCAGTTGATGATAGAGATTCTTTCTCAAGCATTGCTGCTATAATAAACTCGGAGAGTCAAATGGACACTGCTGCTGAAATAGACTCAGTGGTATCACTTTCAGCTTCATCTTCTGGAAGAAGAAATGATGCTTCAAGGGTTTCAGATGTTGACAGTGGCGACTCTCGTGCGCATAGAAGGAGACGACAGAACTAGGGGCTAGAAAGAATTTTACCATTATCTCGTGACCTGGAACTGGTCGACAATTGTTTTACTGCATTCCATTTAATTGCTTTTAGTTTACAAAGAATTGAGCTTCCATATTTATGGGTGATCATAAAGCTTTCAAATATGTCATCCTCCACATTATGTGAATCGAATTGTAATCACCCTTTCATAAGGGTCCGTCCTTCATGCTCTATGGCAAACAAAATTGTACGGAGCTAGTTGACCCATCTTTTCTCGCTGTACATAGGCATGCAAGCTTCATATATATGATTATCTTTGCTTTCATATGTCTTCTCTTTCTTCATTTTTTTCTGTAAAGGAAATCTGCTAAAGCTATTACTCTTCCTCTCCTCCAAAATTTAATTTCTCATATGTATTTCACGTGACTACGCATTTTGTCATATCAACCAAAGATGTTGGTTGTCAATTTGTTTTAAGTTCATCCATTTTTAACATCTATATAAGATGCTCCACCTGTCCCAATTACCAATTTGGAATTCTTCCTTATGTACCCCCAAAATCCTGCAACAATCATATTAATCTGGAAATTTCTTGGGATAACCCACCACTCCTCCCAAATCCTAACCCAGCAAAAACTTGCATAATTACATTTTTCTTTCTTTGTCAAAAATATTCTTCAGATTTTCCTTAGATATTTTTAGTCATTCCACCAATTTTATTTTAAAATAAGATATTTTTTGACATGATTATTAGATAATTTAAAAATAAGATTTACCAATTCGTGAATAAATCAATTAATTCATAAATAAGATGTTACAATCAAACAAAAATAACAAGACTAATAATATTTCCTTTTTTTTTTTTTATTAATGGGAAGCATGGGTCACTTCATTAAATAATGGATATCTGCATTTATTATTGGGATTTGGGTCAAATGCTTGGGTGTTTTTTCATTATTCTTGTTCTTGCTACAAAAACTAATAAAAATATGAAGATATTGGGCTTTCAAGTGATTAGGCTGAAGGGAGTTTGGGCCTGTTTAACATGTCCAGCTTATCAGAAAATGGGGGAAACGAGGTAGACATATGAATCAAGCAGCCCATTCCTCGTAATACGCCCACATTTTTCACTTTCTGGTTTCCATAGCCAACTTTACATTTTTTACATCTTTTCCTATCCTATTTTACTCCTCAGCAAAATATACCTACAAAAATTAAAGTAGAATACAAAAAAGATTGTGGTCTAGTAATAAAAAAATTACAGTCGCTAAAATTTAAATTTTAAATTTATTAAATACCCTTAATAATGATTAAATAAATAATTAATTAATTAAATTTTAAATTTTTTATTAAAATACTTTCTTCTAAAGTCAAGGATAATAATTTGCCTTTAACGATATGTTGGATATTAATCAAAGACAATTACCAACTAAAATCTTTATTTTGACTCTACCTGGCATTAATTCTTAATTAATGATGTCACCCATCTGAATTTATTGCAAGTGGTCGGTATATATAATTTCATATTCCCAATTTGATAACAAAAAAAAAAAAAAAAGTGGTAAAATGTAGAGTGAATTTAGGTAAAACCCTAAATTATTTATAGCCATAGTTGTATTTTTTATAAAAATTAATGAAAATCTAGATTAAAAGAGAAAATTGATGAGACCATAATAAACATTACACACCAGAGTCTTAATGTTTAAAAATTTAATGATTAAAGTAAACTTTATTAGTAATTTTTAGATAAAAAGTATCAGAATTGATCAAAATTGAATATTCTATAAAATATTTTAATTCTGTTATTTTTATTTAAAAATTTATAAAATTAAAGTATAGTAATAAAATTGAATATTGAACTATAACATAAAAAGAAATTTAATGGTAATTTCAAATTACAAAAAGGGTAAGAAGAGAAACAAGACATGTTTAGTGGTCTCGAAATTTCAAGGAAGATTACGGGCATGACTGGTTGAATATGATAACAACAGTGGAAAAAAGTATTAAAAGTTCGAAAAATATGGGTATGAAATTAATGATTGGTTGATACAAATAGAATGATTGATGGCATCCATCCATGTTTCAACGGTCAACATTTCTCATCATCAGTTTTAAAACAAGTTGTAATTATCAAAAGAACGGGTCAAACACAAGCAAAACTTAAAAAATACTCTTCACTATATTCAAAAAAAAAACCAAGAAAAATAGTTATTAGTTTAAGACAATATTAAACTTTTAATTAGGAAGGCGTGAGTTTCGAAGGATGGAACAATTAACTTTTTAGGAGATCGATTTTCAAACTTAGGGGAAAGTGGAAAAATTCACACATGGATCTGATTAGCCTATAAAACATTAAATTATTATTAAGTCTATGATAAAAGATACTCCGATTTGATTATTTGTCTATATATGAAGATTCATTCAAATTTTAAAAAAATTTAAATAAAAAATTAAAATTAATTGAATTAATTTGGATAGAATTTTTAAATTCATTTAAATTTAAGACAAAATGTTGAATAAAAAAAATAAAGTCTGAGATATTTGATACAACCCAAATAAAATATATATAATTATATTAATTTATATATACATGGATTTTTATTGTTACACACTTTTAAAAAAATTAATATTTTTTTATATAAATTAAGTTTAATTGATAAATTTAAAATTTATTTTTTTTATTTTGATTCGATTTAAAAAAATTTTTGAAATTTAAAATATTAAACAAATCAAATTAAAATAAATATAAATTATTAATACTAGATATGAGTTTGGTCGGTCTAGATGTTCACGATTATCATCACTTTCTCACTAAAATGCTTTATTTTTAGGGTCTTTTGTCCCCTACTTTTTCAGCATCAAGCAGCATCCAAGGAAGAGAAATGGGACATGAGAAATGATCGACGACGATGATGATGACGATTATGGTTTGTGATGATTATGATAATGAAAGAAAGCATGGCAAAATGCTTGATGATTATGTCTATAGGAAGAGAACATGCAATATCCTTCCATTCCAGGGGTTGCTTGCGTGCCCAGTTACCTCTATCTTTTCTTTAATTTGCTTTCAACATCTGCCTAAAATCATAAAATAAATAAACCAATTATTTGTCCAACTAAATTGCTTTTCGGGCATAGGCTTAGGTGAGTCTGCAATCATGTAAAATGATAGTATGAAACCATGGCTTTATTATACTCTATTTATAATTATTCTAATTACAAGAAATACTAATAAAATAATTTTTTGCTGAAATTCCTAAATAAATATATATATATATATATATTATTCCTGAAATTTCACAGAAGAATGCCTATGTTGTATTCTTAATTTTTTTTATTTTATTTTGTTATACACGATAGAATTGTATTATAAATTAATTAATTAATATAAAACTCAATCAAATTTATATATAATAAGACTATAACATAAAACTTAAAAGATTTTCATTTTTTTTTATTATTTCGTATAATTGCGACAAGGCATAATTAGATTAAATTACATTAATTATATGTCATCTAATTGAAAATAAGATTAAGCAGCATAAAAACCATTTAGAGTTTTAAGTTCAATACATTTTTTAGAGAATAAATATGGTTTGAATTTAAAATTTTATTCAAATTATATGATGTTCTGCCTTTAATCATTTGACTTTATCTTAAAAGTGGGTGATCTTACTTATGTGTTAGTGGGGCTTACAATGTTTCAAAAATCTAAATTAAGTAGGGTTATAATGTTACACAACTAATCAGCTCATTAGTCCAAAGATAATAATATAGAGTGCCAAACATGATTTTTGTGATGAGCTTATTGTTATTTAATTGAGCAACAAAACAATGAGCATGAAATCATTATGCTATTTTTTTTTATGTATCTAATTTGTAATGGTGTTGCACTTACTCCATAATTATTCCTCATTATTTCAAGATTTTATTTGATTATGCATCCTGATTAGTGATTATCATCACCACTATATTATTGATTCTCTTTTATCACCCAATGACCAACACTTTTGAATAGCAAAATGACAGAAATCCCTTTTTTTTCCCTTTCAAATCTTCAACTTTTTCCCATTAGGTTATTATTATTATTATTATTTATCTTCCTAGCTAGATTTATGCTACAGCCACACAAGTTTTGGCTATGTTATAAACGGCTCACATTTGTGTATTTGATTCAAGTTATTAATATATGTATTCCTTGTTCGAAAGAGCAAAATTTATTTATTTTTAAATAAAAATGTATTGGTTTGATCTTATTTCTGCTTAAAAATAAAAATAGTTATTTTGAAATATATAGAAATTGTTTAAAAAGTATTCATATAATTATTTATCATTAATGCATATCAAATATTTTTTTATTATAATACAATTAATAGTACTTTCAAGTTTTGTTTGCACTTGATATATTTTTTTATGTGATCTTAAGGAAATTTTTTCTATCAAATTGATTTTTAATATTTTATTTTAAAAGTGATTCTCATAAAAATCAAATATCGATTAATAAAAAAAATGTATTACTTAATCTTTGAAAATAACTTTACTTGTGTAGGTGCATTATATATTATCTATATTTATTTTTTACATCATAAAAGAAGAAACAGTTGAATCAAATAGTAGCTGCTGTTGAAAGCTTTTATGATCCATCCAAATCCATATTGAAAAGCTGCACTTAGACCAACTTTTGAGATCAAAGTTATCATCCGTTGAAAAATAAAAATAACAAAGCTAACCGGGTTTTCTTGTTTAAAATTTTCTGTCTAAAGTAACCAAACTGAATGTTCATTTTCCTCCGTCAATAAATATTATAATAAAATTACTTTTTAATGTTGATAATTTTTCTAAGAGAGGGAATATTTATTAAAAAAAAAAAGAGCAAAATGACCTACGAGAACGGGATAGATAAAAAGGATTGAGATTTCATTTGAGGCAGAAACAAGCAAACCCCACAGCACATTCAGAGAGAAGATGATCATTGCAAAAATTGACACCCCTTCTTGGCCTTTGCGCACATACATCAAGCTGATATCAATAGCCTCATTTTCTCTCATCAACTTCTATTAGTGGGTCAACTACTCCTGCTGCTGCCGCCATCTCTAGGCCCCTCTTTTTAGGGTTCATCCCTCATCAGGTCATATGCCAGGTCCTTCAAAATTCAAAATCCCCATTACTAGAACTAGAATCTCTTGCCAAGTCAAATAAATATATCAAAAGTTCCGTTTCCAAATCCAAGCACTTATTTTCTTGGTCATAGCAAACATATGTTTAAAAGAAAAAAACTTGTTTTAGAAATCCGTTTCCTTGAGGCAAATGTGAGCAACAAAGCTAATTGCACGCCAAGAATGATCTTTGGAATGGGGTTGTTCAAAAGGAAGTTACAGTTACTTGAATCATGAAAGTGTTAACAGAAAGTAATGTGTAGCAATCAATGCTTGACTTCAAAACCCCTAAATTGTGCATCCGAAAAAAGGTGGTAGTAAAATAAAAATAAAGCATAGCTCATTATATCTGCTCTATCATAACCTAG